GCTATTTCATGTTTATTTTGTTAAGGTGTATTATTTATTATTAGTAGTATTATTAGTATAGTTAACTAAAAACTTTTGTTACTTGAAATAAAATAAATGTTAACTGAAATACAATAAAAGATTTAAAAATTATTTTACTGCAGCTAGTTGCCAAGGCAAATGTCTCAATTTAATTTAGTTTAACTTCATGTACTATGTACAATAACTAAAATGACTAAAACTTGAAACGGAAATTATATTTTAAATATTTACAATATTAATAAAAATTAAAATGGTATCTCAGTGGTAATGATAGTTTAACGTTTTAAAATGTAGAAATTACGACATCTATATATATTAATATTGTAATTTTACAGTTGTAATATCAAAATTTAATTATTATAGTATATTATTTTCTTAAACACTTTATTTTTTATTTATTTTTTTTTACAATGAAATATTGCAATAGTAATATTTTGTATTTGTTTCGTTTTTTATATTTTATTTTGTATTATTATTGTTATACAAATATTTTTATAATTTTATGTATTATATTGCAAAATAATAAAAGTTTGGTTAAACTGTGCAACCCTACAAACAAGCACAGCAAACCTGGACTTTTTTTTATCGCAATTTAAATCAGAAAAAAAATTAGCTTTTTTCGATTTCGATTTTTTTTTTCCCCAGAATCCTGCTCCGCTCCTCATCTTCTGAGCGTTTGTGTGTTTTGTAGGTGGTGGTGAATCTGGGTTTGGTCTATAAGGTCCAGCATCACTGCGGCGTCATCTTCCAGTTCGTGGCGTTCATCAGGAAACGCAAACGCACCGTTCCTGACGTCTTAGCGGCGGGCGGACGATACGATCATCTGGTAACATCAACACGAGTCACGCACTTCTGAAATCATTCGAGCATAGGGCTGGGTTTTGACACAAATTTCACGATTCGATTCTGACTCACAAGCTTTCGATTCAATTCAATATCGATTATTCTGGATGTAAATCATGTACAGTACATGCCAAATTTTCTCAAGGAAAAACTCTCTGTAAAATATACATTAAAGTTAGCTGGTACTACATTGCTATAACATTGAAGGTAACAATTAACTGATTTATATACAAACGTTTAAATTACATTTTTATAATTAAGTTACAATTACAATATACAAAATATTTACATTTCTACTCAAATTCATTTTTTGATGGTTGTCATAAAAACATGACGGACTTATTCATAAATGAACAAATTAAACATTGAAGAACAGCAAAAAGTTATAATATTATATGGTGCATATATTTAGCAAAATTATCCGCTCTATAGTTAATTTTTTTTTTAGCTGACTAAAGAGTGTATGGTCACAGAATGAGGTAAATGTGACGTTACGTGACATTGTTTACAAGCTGTAATATTGAGGTCTTTGCGCGACTGAAACACTGATTGAGCGATTACACGAGACAGGATATGGATTGTAAAGTTGAGCTCTTTCTTTTAACTTACCTTCGGATGTTCATTCATGTTTATTTTGTGCTATAATTAGTAATAAAGTGGAGGAGATGATCAGTTCACTGAGGCGCTACAGCGATCACTCCACATTAAACAGCGCCAAAACAGCATTTATTGTTTGAATACTTAAATAGAATGGTGAGAATTTTAAATCTGATACTTTTTTTTCATATCAAAAGTAACAAAACAAAGCTTATTGCGATTTATTGGATGGGAGGTGCGCTACAGTGTTCCGTTCATTAACTGAAAACAGGCGAGACTAATCGATTCTTGGGATTTAAGAATCGATATTGTTTCGTAAAAGTGAGAATCGATTAAAATCGAGAATTTTTTTTTACCCAGCCCTGTAAATAACTTTTAATAACGATTGTTAATCAAACAACAAAAGAAAATAATTCACCGATCTTGACTGAATATCTTTAATAACTTTTATTAATTAACCTATATTTTATTTATAAAAAGAAACCTATGCAGTGTTTTTAAACTTTTAATTACAGTTTCTGTACCTGAAATTTGGTTTAGTTGTATTTATTATGCTATTGCTAATTGATTTGTTCGTTCCTATTTTATTACTGACTGTTTACTTGTCTTTAACACTTTAATATTTGAAATTTATATTAGTCTAGTTGTTTTTGCCGTGGTATTTTTGTTAAAAGCAAAGGCAAAAGTTCCTCTTGTAGGCCTAAGTGTTCGGGTTTTTGCTCGTGTTATTCAGCTGCAACAGAATGCTTGGTAAAAAGTTTGACTTCATTCATTTTTTTATATTGGATTTTTTCATCTTATCGGAATCGAAACTAGGAATTCAAACGATACCCAACCCTAATGCGGAATCATTTCTCGATTCGCGATGCATGGATTTATTTTGGCAGCCCTATTAACAACTGATGCTTTGGGTTTTCCGTAACAGATCATGGAGTTTCGCGGGCCGGCGGTGTCCGGTCCGGTCCCGACGGCAGTCGGCGCCAGCATCGCTCTGGATAAGATCTGCTCGGCTGTGGCCAGTCTGGAGGAAGCGGTGAGTGTCACAGCAGTGCGATGCAGGCTTCAGATGCCCTGCGTCTCGTCTCGTCTCATCTCTCCGTCTCTGTCTGTCAGCCTCCTGTGAGCTCCTGTGACGTTCTGGTGCTTCCTGTGGGCCAGTCCTCCACCAGCAGAGCCATTAAAGTCACTCAGAAACTCTGGGCGGCCGGAGTCTCTTCAGACATCGTCTATGACATCTCGCAGGTCAGTGTTCACACGCTGTTAGGAAATGTTGTTCTGTCCCAGTCTAAAAACATATTTGCTTTGTTTGGTTAGTTTGTGTTCATTTTGTGACATCCATAAATGAATCAGATTTAGCAGATGCAGCCATTCTCATTAGCCAAATCCCTTTAAATTATTGCATATCAAGCTAAAATCTCAGGGGGACCAAAATTAAAATCGGTTGCGAGAAGGAAATCTTTAAGACACTTCGTCAGTAGTGTACTTCAGACTCATTGGGTGTTTCGGCTCTTTAAACACTATTCACCCTCAGTTCACCATCAGTTCTCTGATGTTAATGGTCATAAGACATGCAGGCAGTTTTATTTTAGTTTCATTGATATACTGTTATACTTTTTGTTAATATTTTGAATTAGATTTTATTTTTATATTTTCTGAATTTTAGTTTTTTTGTCATTTTTAGTAGTTCTCTCTTTTTTTTATGTCTATATAGTTTTTATTCATATTTTGTTTATTAGCTTTAGTTATTTTAGTACTTCAAGTTAAACTAAATGAAAATGATAACTGTTGCCTCGCAACTAGCTAAAAAAGCTTTACAGTTTATTTATATAATTTATTTTATTAATATGTAATATGTTTTAGTTTTCTGTTTAGTTTTAGTTAACTACAAAAACATGCATGTAGTTAAACAAATAAAATAGTTCATTTTTGTTCAATTTTGATTGTTTTATTTTAAAATGATTTGTTTGTGATTTTGCATTTTATTTTATTTTTATTATGTGCTTTATTTTTATTGTTTTACTTTTAAATTACGTCCTTATTGTAATTTTACATTATGATTTTAATAATTTCTAGTGTTTTAATTTTGATTGCTATATTTAAAAATGATTAAAATTTTACATTATTGTAATTTTAATACATTTTTAATAAAACAACATTTATTTGATCAAAGATACATAATATATACATAATATTATTGTAATTTTAATAAATTTTTAATAAAACAACATTTATTTGATCAAAGATACATAATATATACATAATATTATTGTAATTTTAATAAATTTTTAATAAAACAACATTTATTTGATCAAAGATACATAATATATACATAATATTATTGTAATTTTAATAAATTTTTAATAAAACAACATTTATTTGATCAAAGATACATAATATATACATAATAAATATACACAGTACACACACATAATGTAAATCGCAATTAATTGTTTGACCGCACTAAAACAAACCTTCAGAATATAGAGAGAAATAAAACTGTTTGGTGTATGTAAGTGCTGCTGAAGTGGAAAAGCAAGCTATTTAAAGATTGAAATTGAAATCTACAGATGCAAATAGATAAAGGCCAATAAAATAAACACTTAAATGTATATTTTGTTTAATTTCCACTAGTCTGAAAGAAGAGGCATGATATGGAAGCAAAATAGACTAACATCTCAAAAGGTTTTGCCTGTTGTGCCTTGCCTTAAATCAACATACATTTATTTGAGTAGTAAAATGAAAATAAATATTTTTTTACTGGGAAGTTGATCAAAATGAAGTGAGTTTAAGCTTAAAGGTAGCATATCATGAAAATCTGACGTTTCCAGGTTTTAAGTGCTATAATCAGGTCCCCGGTGCATCTACCAACCAAGGAAACGTGAAAAAGATTAACCCAGTAACTTTGTTTTGGGAAGCCTTTTTCTGCAAGCGTCTGAGAAAACGAGCGCGTCTGATTTCGCTCCCTTGGTGACGTGGCAAAGGGATCTCATTATAATATTACCGCCCCTTAATCTGTAAGTTTACACCCACGGCGCCGTTATTGTGTTTTTGCAAGTGACAATGGTGTACCAGCTCTAATGCCATGATGATAAGAGACAAGCACGAAAAACAGCGTGTTTCTGCTTCCACTCAAAATAGGCATTTTCAAAATGATATAATAAATGATCTGTGGGGTATTTTGAGCTGAAACTTCACAGACACAGTCTGGGGACAACAGAGACTCACATTACATATTTTAAAAAGAGGCATAATATGTCTCCTTTAAAACAAGAAAAAAATATTTGCCAGTGGTGTCAGAAAAATAAACTAGTTTGCCCTTTTGAGTCAAGTCTGAGAGTCTTAACATATTTGTACTGTAAAACAAGACAGAAATACAGAGGAAGTATTTGACATTTTGGTGAATTAAGGGTTCAGAGCTGAGAACTAGTTCCATATAATAAAGCATTCATCAATCAAATAAATTGAAATGCCATGAAATAAATACAAAGACAGTAAGCAGACAATACATCTTTCCGTCAGTTGTGACGTTCTCACTAATTCTTGCGAAACAAGCATGGAAACCAATGTCATCCAAGACTAAAAAAAAATCAGTGTCATTGACTGACTGAATCCGTCAGAGCAATTCCTCCCTTACTGAACCACAAGTCATTATTTTTTATTATTATGTTCAACTCCAAACCACAGTCGTTAAATTCCAGGGTGGATCTCGGGCAGAATAAGTTTCTACCGATCGTCAATTTCTGACAACACGAGACTAATAAGCCCTGATCCGCTCTAATGAATGCAGTCAGATGTGTGTTTTTCCGTTGTAATGAAGATAACTATTCTCCATTTGTGCCACAGTCACAGGAAGCTCTTCTGGAGCACTGCAGACAAGCTGGAATCACATTCATGGTGCTGGTGTCTGATAAAGAAGGACATTACCTGAAGGTAAATCACATCAACACCTGCGCTGGAGACACTAAAGAGTGCGCTGATCTGACACGCTCTCTTCCCGTCAGGTGAAGTCTTTTGAGAAAGACCGTCAGTCGGAGAAGAGAATCCCCGAGTCGGAACTAGTCGATCACTTCATCCAAAAGAGCCGGACCAAACTCTCTGAAGAGAGAAACAGGTGACAGACGCTGACGTTTACAACCGTAAACCATGTGTCAGAGTCCAGGGGAAAAATCTAATGCTGTGTTTTCTGCCCATCAGAGAGATTTCCGAGAGTGCTTCTCTCCAGAATCCAAAGGGATCATTACTGGGAAACTCAGGTACAGGTTTTTCAGGCAGGATCGCGATCCGCATTCTTGTCTCAGAATTCTTTTTCATTTGGTTTTTGGGCCTATTTCGTAAGTTATTGAGCAGTAACCCAAACTAATTTTCCTGTTTAAAAAAATTTCGCTCTGCAACATGACAAAACTTGAAGAAACAAGACAAAGTAAGGGTGACCAAAATCTTAAAGCCAAAAATTAAAATTACCCTCAGGCCGTCCAAGATTAGGATGAGTTTGTTTCTTTATCAGGTTTGTAGAAATGTAGCATTGCATCAGTGTCTCAGCAATGGATGCTCTGCAGTGAATGGGTGCCGTCAGAATGAGAGTCCAAACAGCTGATAAAAACATCACAATAATCCACAAGTAATCCACAGCACTCCAGTCCATCAGTTAACATCTGGAGAAGACAAAAGCTGAAACAAATCCAGCATTAAGACTTTTTTGGGCTGTTTTGGACTGTTTAAACGGTGCTTGATCTGTGCAGATTTCTCTCCTGATTCAGACCACACCACTTTTTCACTGGAGGAAGCGTTATTATGGATTACGGACTCGTATTTTAGACATTAAAAACATCTTCATGCTGGATTTGTTTCAGCTTTTGTCTTCTCCAGATGTTAACTGATGGACTGGAGTGCTGTGGATTACTTGTGATGTTTTTATCAGCTGTTTGAAGTCTCATAGAAACACAATTTTAATCGTTCACGATCTAAAATTATGGCTTACTGCTTTATTAATTAATTTAAAACCTTATTGAGGCACACAGTGATTCAGTGTTGTGTAGTACTTCAAACTTTGTTTGTCTCTGGCGGATACTGCATTTAAAACCTTGAAAGAAAATAACTGAGGTTTGTCCAACAGATATTTGAATGAAGCATCATGCTTCTATCTTCTCGTGTGTTTGGTGTCCGTCAGGTCTGTCTGAGTCACATGGGAACAACACCATGAATGTGAACCTCGTACCGCCTGAGAAAATCTCAGCCAGCTCCCGACGGAGATACGAGACGCAGGTCAGCACAATGGGAAACACGCTTTCTTCCTCATCTTGTACCTTTAAGGCCTGTAGAGAATGTCCTTCCCCTCACAATCACACACGCTTAATAAATCCCAGTGTTGCTTTTGGCCAAATTTCCCCTTGAAGTTTTCACGCTCCATCACAATCAAACATGGAGAAAGTCTTGAATCTGTGACCCCATGAGAAGCGTCCAGTGTTTGATTCAGCTCAATTGGTGTTTAATTCAGCATGCGTGAGTCCTCAGGACAGTCTGAAGTAATGATTCTAATCTGAACCCCTACTGTTCTGTGCTCAGCTTTATTACATACAATGAAAAGCTTTTGTTTTCTGTCCATTTGCATTATGAGCATGAGAGAAGTCCTGTCTTTCAGATCCAGACACGACTGCAGAATCTGAGCAGCAACTTACAGAACAAGAGCAACGACATTGAAGTGCTGGCTGTGAGTATATGATGTCACTTCCTGCTCTCATATCATCACTGATGCATTTGGCAGATGCTTTTATCCAAAGTGACTTGCATCGTACTTGCCGATATTTGCCATTTTTAAATAATTGGCATCAGAACTTGCCAAGAATGCAGCAACTTGCATCCATTCAATGTATGCATTAGTGATCAACAAATATAACATCCGATATTTGGTATTTTTTTAAATTATCGGTTTTTATAGTTTTTCTGCATGGCCGATAAGTATCATAAACAGCTTTAATTTTGACAGTGATGGGACTTATTTTGATAGTGACAAGAATGCTGCAACAAAGTATACATTAGTGGTTAACCAGTATATTGCCATGACCGATATTTGGCATTTTTAAAATATCGGCACCGATGATTTAATTAAATTAGTGTTACCTGAACTTTATTTGAGAAAATATGATTGCCAGTCTGCACAAACTTATCAGATTACTGAGTGCACTTGGTTATAGTGTTTAACTTTCTTTATTTGTGAACAATGCAATAATAGGATTACAAAAACAAGAAGTTTCGAAAGCATAAATGTTTTTTTTTTTCATATTTATTCGTTTTACAATAAATTTTCTTAATTGCAGCAATTGTTATGCATCTTATTTAAATTGAATAGTGTAATGTAGTTTATATCAGCTTTTTATCGGCTGATTTAAAATATCGGTATCGGCCATCGGTCATAAAAAAATCCATGTCAGTAGACCACTAGTGTGCATTTGATGAGCTCATGCATTCCTTTTTATTTGTATTTTAACTATTTCTGTATTTGTGAAAAATACTAGTATATTATTACAGAATGAAGATGTTAAAGCACAAATCTGTTAAAAAATTTTTTTTATCAAGTTCAAATTATTTTCATATTGATTTATTGCACAATTAATTATTTCTAATTTAGTAAATATGAATCTAAATGTCATTGCAGCAATTGTTATGCATTTTATTTAAATTAAATAGTGTTATATCATATATATCGGCATCATATCGGCCACTGGCTCCTTAAGATATCGTCAAAAAAAACACATCGGTCGACCACTAGTGTACATTTGAACAGTTCATGCATTCCTTTTTATTTGTGTTTTGAACTATTCCTTTATTTGTGAAAATACTGTAATACGGTTACAGAATGAAGATACTAAAGTGCAAATCTGTTTATTTAAATTTTTTTCATATTGATTCATTGTACAATTATTTCTAATTTAATAAATATGAATCTCAGTTTCATTGCAGCAATTTTATGCATCTTATTTAAATTAAATAGTGTAAAATCATATATATCGGCTTTATATCGGCCTCGGCTCTCTATAAGATATTGGTATCAGCATCAGTTCATGCATGATTCCTGGGAATCGAACCCATGACCTTGGCGTTGCCAGTGATGTGCTGTACTAGATTAATTTACTCATTTAGCAATCTCATAGAATTTAGATTTTCCCAGTGAAATGATGAACTGTTTTGAGAAGCATAAACATCAAGATTCTCATCGCTTGCATATTTAGTTAATTTAGTGGTTTTGTGGGGAATGAAGTGGTTTGGTGTTTCTCTCTGTTGTTACACGGTTTACAAAACTCCCCTTAACCCTGAGTTATGGGTTCAAATATGAGTTTGTCCCCGAGCCAAAATCTCAAGTTAAGAACCATGAGAACTCAAGGAAGAACTTGAGGAAGTAGAACCACCTTAAACTTTCCAGACACTCTGATCGACATCTAAAGAGCGATAACAGAAAAAACATGATGCGCTGATATGAAAACAAAGACACTAACGCCACACACACACAACTCGTTTCCTCTCATGGTTCTTCGGTGGTGTATTTACTCCAACTTTTACCCTGTTAAGGCACATTTGGAGCCCTTCCTGTTGACTGGTACGCCGTGTTTACATGGCACTGCATCCGTCTGCGGGTTTCTGTAGATAAGCCGCCATTGTGTCTGCGAACCTGACCTTCACAATCTCTCCTGTCGCATTCCTCCGCAGGTCGATCTGCCCAAGGAAACCCTCATCAACTTCCTGTCCCTCGAGGTTTGTACCGCTATTATTATGAGCTATTCTGAGTAAATAAATGGCATTCCAGTGGAAAACATAAAGCGGAAGAGAGGGGGATCCTGTGTGCTGACAGCAGGATGATGAGGGAAACCCTCTCCATCAACATGAGTCACTGCAACAGGAAGAACAGTCTGTTCATGTCGTTTAACCAGGAACAAACATGAGCTTACACAGAATGATGGGATACTTCACACTAACAAAGGCCTTCAGTTATTCACCAGTTCAGAGTGCGAGGAAAAACACTCACACACACTGAGTGATTATGAAAGTGTTTTTTTTACTTTATTTTTATTATTCTTTTTTTAAGATGTTTGTTTTAGCATTTAAAAATGCAGGAAAAAAGGAGATAAAACGAAGTAAAGT